TTTTTTTTTTTTAAGAATGATAGTTAAATAAAAAATTCAAAAAAAAAGAGCCGAGACGCTCGGCTCGGCTTGCTACAGTACGAGCTCGTGGGCCGAGCTGAGCAAACGAGCCGAGCACAAGCTCGGCTCGTTTTATAACGAGCCACGAGCTCAAGCTCGTGGGCAACGAGCCACGATGAGATTCTTGTTATGTGAATGCCTCTCCTTTCGAGACGCATAGAGAAGATGTATTAGTAATGTTAAATTGTACATCAGATGGAACGTTAACCCCCTATGTTTCAGGGCATGGAAACTGTTCTTTGCCTAAGATCCTAGTTTCCAATCAAAGTAAAATGCTGTGATCCTCTTAAAATAGAGATTCGTGAAGTAATCGCCGTGCCCAGAACTTATGTTACGTGATATGTTATCAAATTTGTTCATTTTAACCTTCTGGACGTTTCAAGATGTTGGATGTTGCTTCTTTTATTTTTTTCCGAGAACTTTTCCAAGTGTGGAAATTCCTAGTTGTGGCAATCGAGCCGAGCGGCTCGTCGGGTCAGTCGCTCGGCTCGTACTGTAGCTGCCCACGAGCCGCTCGGGCTCGTCAAAAAATGAGCCCGACTGGCTCGGCTCGTTTTTGACGAGCGGCTCGTTTTTTTTTTTAAGAATGATAGTTAAAAAAATTCAAAGAAAACGAGCTGAGACTCTCGGCTCGGCTCGTTACAGTACGAGCTCGTGGGCCGAGCTGGGCAAACGAGTCGAGCTTGTGCTCGGCTCGTTTTATAACTAGTCGACTCGGCTCGTTTGCCACCGCTGTGTGGAAAGCGATGCAGAAGAGTGTTTGGTGTTCAAGCATATTTTCTCTGACATCTATTTTACACTGTGTTCTAAAAAGTTAAGTTTGTCTAGGCTCGAATCTTGAGCGTAACGCCATGCCTCTCTTTCTTCTCTAAACGTATTTTATTAGGTTTTTTTTCCTTTTTTAAAAGGCTTTATACGATTTTAGCTGATTAATTTTTTATTTTTTAAAATTTTAAAATAAAGAACTTTTCATTTGGTTTTAATTTTGAGTTTAAAAAAGATTTTATCTGTACAAAAGTTAAAAAATAACTTTATCTAAATTATTAAATAAGATTTAAATTATGATGTTATTTATATTATGTAATTAATATCACGAGACTCGTTATTTAGTTGCAAACTTCAAAAGCATATATGAAGTTCCTATAAATTTATTAAGTAAGACTTATCTAGTTAAAAATTAAAACTAAAAAGAATATTTTAATTTTTGCATTTTGAAAGCTTGAAAACTGTATATTTGACTAATGACAGGAATTATTAAGTCCGTGTTTGAGCCACATTAGAATTTTCATTTTCATTTTTTTACTCATTTTTAACCACACATTTTTAATGAAACAATATTTTTTATCACATCAATAAATTTTCTTTCTTTTTCAATCATACATTCTCCATCAATCTACTATTTCAAATTACATTCTTCCAAAATAATGTAACTCAAATGCACCCTTAGTAAATATGGTATTTATAGTATTAGATATTTGAAATGCATTATTTTTATTATTAAATGATTAAAAAAATGTTAAAAATAAGACTTTTACGCCGAAGTCTCGCTTAAGCTCGTAAAGTTCGAAGTTTCACCTCCACATCTAAGCACTCTTTACGTTTTTTAGAACACTCATTATATTTAATACACTTCTAATGCAGTTTAATATAAGGGGCATTATGTTATGGGCTATGTATCCATAGCATTATCCTTAATATACAATTAGGAGTATATGATTAGCAACTAATTTCCAATATTCCTGTTCTGTAAACGACGTTGTCATGGACTATACGGTATACGAAAGATATAAAAAATGGGTTGGATGCTGCTTCCTGTACTACCAGCTTTACTGAAATGGGATTGTTGAAACTAGTAAATATTAAAGAATGTGAATACTGAAATTTGATTTGGAATTTCCAGGTCATGTGTGTTGCGTCCTAGTATAGTAGGTGACTAGGTGTAGCATATACCAGATTACCAGTTATTGTCCCATGCTGGGGATCGGGTATGAAATCGTGAGATGGACAGTACTTGAGTTGGCTTGTGCCTTTGTTCAAATTTGGAAAGTGGGCCACATTGGAAAAATGGGCCTAAGCTTATGAAGCCCAGCATAAAATGGGCTCAAGTGACGCAGTTTCCAAGGCCAACACTTACCCAATTCCGGGGCTTAAGTCCAAGGAATTACTGTTTTGAGTCTCATTTTGTAGAAGGAAAGAGTTCACAAATCAAGCATTAACTTTTATAATTGCAAAAAAATCAGGTATTAAGTTTTAAAAATACAAAAATTAGATATTTAAATAATTAATTAAATATATTTTATTAATTGAATATATTAAAATCAAAATTATACAATTCATTATCATAGATGCATACTTACGAGTCACAATTTATTTACTGATCACATATTATCAAATTAATTGATCACAGATTATTTCGAGCTCAAAAATTAAAAATTTTTATACGTCACAATTTTATTGGTCACAGACTAAAAAAAAATTATATATCGGTCACACATTCTCAAATTGTTGGTCACAAATTATCGAATTTTAAGGTTACATTTTAAAAGTTGGTTACAGAAAACTAAATAGTTTGTCACATGCACCAAACACCCCATGATGACACTAAATATAAAATTAGGTGATCATGGTAAAACAAAATCAAATTGAATGATTATGATGACACTGAATATAAAGTTAGGTGATTATCGATAGATTTAGGGTATGTTTGATGGATATTATTGAGAAAAAAATATATTTTAAATAGTGATATGATATGAAATATTTAATTAAAAAATAAAGAAAAATTATTGATATTAAGAAAAATATTATTTTATTAAAAAATGTGAGATTGAAAATGAGTTTTGAAAGAATGTAATTTTAAAGAAGTTGTGCCAAACATGCCCAAATTACAAATCATACTTTAATGGTTTACAATAACAAGTTTTAAGTTATTTTCAGCAGATTCAAACATTATCTAACTTTGACCTCGGATTCTCCGAAACTGAAAACGCGTTTTCCCTATTTGAAACACATACAAGGAATCAAGAAAAGTAAAGAAAAACCAACGGCAGACTGGTCGACCCCCACCTATTCGATGCTTTAACCATATCTCTCACTCTCCGATACCAACAAACAGAGAAAGAAATGATGAAGAAAAAGCCTTCTAGCGTGACCCCATCACCACCACTTTCATCGTCTCCACCGCCATCACCGTACCAAAACGATGCCGTTTCAGATGATGCTTATGCTATGATGGGCCCCACACTCCCCTCAGATCTGATCACAAGCATCCTCTTGAGGCTCCCAGTAAAATCTTTGGGTAAGTTCAAGTGCGTTTCAAAGCAATGGCTTCACACAATCAGCGACCCACACTTTGTTTCCACGCGCAGAAGTCTCTCTTTGCACAACCCTAATCTGCTTTTACTTAAAAAGAGTCCAGTTGTACAAGAAGCCCATATGAAAAAATGCACAAGAATTGATGTTTGTTCGTTAAATTTTGATGGGTCTTGTAAGAATCTTGAATTCTCTTTGTATTTGAATGATGATGCGAAGTACATTGAGATGTTGCCTTCCAAATGGGATATAATTTGCTTCGTGAGTGAAAATGGGTTTTATGTTTGCAATCCTGGCAAGCAAGAGATGGTGAAATTGCCCGAGGCTAGTTGTTGTACCTCTGGTGAGGTGAATGCCGGGATGGGTTACGTGAAGGAGAGGGATGAGTATGTTTTGGTGCATTTGTTTGATAAGAGCTTGGATATACATGTGGATAATTACATAGGGTGTGAGGTGTTGAGGTTGACCGACGGGAAGGATTGCGAGTGGAAGGTGGTGGAGGCCAATTGCCCCTTTATGGTTCGGGGGTGGGGTGTTTTGGTGAACAATGTGTTCTATTGGATGTTTTGGGATGACTACACTCATCCAAGTGAAGAGGCTATAGTGTCATTCGATCTTGAGAAGGAGGAGTTTGGGACTGTCTTACCACCCGAGGGTTGTTTTGATCCTCATGGAGTGTGGTCTTTGGTGGAATTGGGAGGGAATCTGTGCTTAGTGGACAATGCAACTCGACCATTTACTATGGATATATGGGTGATGAAAGATTATGACAATCAGAAGTGGGTTCGGGAATATAGTATTGATTTAAATGGATATAGCAATGACACACTCAAGTTCGTTATTCCATTAGAATTCTGGGATGGGAAAATATTTATGGATGCAAAGCAAGAGAGTCTTGACTATTATGACGTGGAGAACAAGTGCATCAAAAGAATGGACCATCTGATTGCTGGAGAATGGACTTGGCTGAGGCTTTACACTGATAGTTTCTTTTCCTTGGGAAGTCGATAAATACATGTTCTTGTTGCCAAATTTTTGGGCATTTCATATTTCGTCCATTATTATTATTATTATTTTTTTGTTGGTTTTCGTCTCTAGTTTGTTGTCTGGTCAGCATTGAATCTTAGATATCAGGAATTTCTTTTAAAATCTGGGGACGTAGACCAGTCAGTTAACTAGTTTTTCTAGTTCCATCATGAAGATGTTTCCTCTGATCGATCGTTTTTGTGGTCTTTGGATAGTATTCAATACTCTGCTTACTTTAGGTGTGAAATGATGTCAGAAATGACCTTGTGTTTGAATTAATGAATTGGTTTGGTATAATCTCCATTGTCTCCCATATACACACAAAGTTACTCATGAATTTTTCATTTGGCTAAATTTTACTCAGCTTTGATATATTGCTTTTATGAAAGCATCATAGTCGTGATTAGAAAAGTTTCGACGAGGTGATACTGAATAACTGCAGTTCTTTTTTGTCACATATCTCTTTTGAAAGAACTAGAAGTGCTTGAGCTGCATTCATAGTTATTTTCAGTATTTGTTTCCGAGTTTTGTTGTTTCTTTATATTCTTTACTTTAAGATTCAAATTTTTTTCGAGTCATGAATGAGTTTATTAGACATCCGAGATGGTGTATCTTGTTATATGCTATTCCTTGATGATATTGTATGAGTTGATCATGCTTTTGGTACATGTTATTCAATGATGACATTGTTAAGTTGATGACTAGGTGGAGAGAAATTGTAGTTATAATACAGAGTTTGGAGCCACTCTAGAATATAATGTTTCAATAGTAATTTTTGGTATTTATGTTATTAATAAAGAAGGTTGAATTGAAGAGGATGTGATGCACAGGGAATGTAACTTCATGGGAGTTATCTTTAAAGCCAAGTTTTACGGGCCAATTATGCTTTACGGCCGAATACTGGACCATGAACGATAAAAGCTCCATAAGGTGAGTGCGACTGAAATGGAAATATATGGACATGGTCATAGTAGAATGGGGAAAATGAGAAATGGGAACATACACCTAGTGACATAGAAATGGATTATTTGGTTGAAACTCGTTGTGTAGACCTAAAGAGGCTTCTATGTGGTTGAAGTAGTTGATATTTTAGTAGTTTAGAGTGCCGGTTGACATTGCTTAAGTAATGTCTCATTTTGCTACGTGACTTTTCTCCATCAATCGAGTCAGTGAGGCGATTAGACTGGAGACTTTAGAGAAGGATCGAGTACGAGGAGATGGTGGAACAAGCTGTCATGACATGTAATATAACATGGCCTGATGAGGTTTTGGTTTCATTGTACCTTATTGCAGATGTAGCAGTAAATTGTAAGAAAGGGTGAAAAAGAAATTCGTTTAGTTGATATTTTAGTGGTTGAAGTGCCGGTTGACATTGCCTATGGCTCTGTTTCGAATTTCTTTTAGAGGCCCAACTTCTTCATACAGTAAAAAAGCAGTAATTGAAGAAACTGTAACATTTGACAGTAGAATCTGAAAAGCACCCAAAGAGTAGCTTCTTGAATTCTGCTGTTGGCCTTTCAATGATTTTACTCCCTTGGAATGGGACCTTTTTATTGCTACTGTGGGGGTCTTGAAGCACAATGAGATTTTTCTCGTTGGTGTCAAATCCCTCCCTTGGAACGTGAAAGGTCCATATTTTCCACCCCGTGTAAGTTTCTCGCCAGATTCTTCATTCTTTCGTTTGGAGTCCTCGATTCATCTTCAAGGTACTACTACCAATCGATCTCTCCTTTTTATGCAATCCGGTGTCCTTAATTCCTGGTAAAATTTGAACTTTCATTTTCGATCTCTAACAACAACTTGTAATTCACATTCTAGGTTTCAACTCATTGTGCATGTTTCAACTTTCAACCGTGATGGATTTTAAATATTTTGAAATTGTTGTGCGATTTTAATATTTATATTGTCAATTTCTTCATGTAAGGACCTAGATTAATATATTGAATGGGTTAAGATTCAAAATCTTAATTTTGGATTAATGCTATTTAACACCACCAGTGATAGAACACTAA